ATATATATATATATATATATATATATATATATATATATATATATCTTAATAAAAATGTATCAGTGACTGTGAGTTTTGCAAACGTGTCATAAGAATATTTTATTAGTGTTAATGTTAACCCCACCAAGAATATTTAAATACACTGAACCATGTGTTCAGCTTTAATGGCTGTACTCCTGAGATTTACAGAGGAAAAAATCGTGAGAATGAGTTTAGTATTTAGCTCTGACTGATTAAACGCGCAAATACTTCATTGCTCCTGAGAAACAGGTTACACTGAGTGGAGCGGTCGACCGCTCCGAGATGGCGGCCCTACAGTTTTTTTTTTTTTTTTTTTTTTTTTTTTTTTTTAAACTTTATTTGAAACATCAGTTTACAAACAAAACAAGGCAACAACATCAGCACAAAACTCAGTTTTCACAGGTTGAATTGCATGCACTCAAAGCAAAAAAAAAAACCCCAAAACAAACAAACAACAAAACAAAATAAACAAAGAATGAACATGAAACAAACACCGAGGTTTAAGCCAAATCAAAGTTGTTAATCAAACTACAAAGTTGTTGGGCAGATTTACTTTTAACTAAATTTAAAGACTCACGAAAACAAAATAGGAAATTTTTCCAATGACTTAAATTTGGGTTAACTTTAAAAAATCTGCATTTATGAACAAAAAACTTTCCCAATAAAACTAAATTATTGATTAAAAATTCTGTTTTGGAGTTTTGAAAATATATACCAAATTTGATTATTGTTAGACTCAAAGCTGGCAGTTCAACTCCTTGGTCCTGGAGCCAACCCCACATTCTGCTCCAAAAGTCTTGTGTGACACAACACTGGAAGAAAAGATGATCCAGAACTTCATCTTCATCGTGGCAGAATGAGCACCCAGCAGTGTCAAATTTAAATCTAATCTTTAAAAATGCGTTAGTTGGGTAGATACTGTTTAGAATTTTAAAATGGACTTCCTTTACTTTTGGAGGAAGGGGAAAAGAAATATATTTTGTTCTAATTTTAGAGATTACATCTAATCTATAATCTTTAAGAATATACTGCCGTTTAACCTGACCAGGGTACAATTCCTTTTGTAAAATTCTCCGAGTCAACTTATTTGTCAATTTCTTATCTTTAAATTCTATATCTTCTATATACAGTTGACTCAGAACAGGGGAAGTTTTGGAATGACACACATCTTCTTTAACCATTGATTTCAGAGCTGCTGGAATTGCTTTTATCATCTTATTATAAATCTTGACATCAAAAGCAAGATTGAACTTCAAACAAAATTCTTCGAACGATAATATAACACCACTGTCATCCATGAAATGTGAAACGGCCCAAATGCCCTTCAAATATAAGTTTTCTAAAAATACTGATTTTCTATTCAACAATATATACCTGTTGTTCCAGACCGGAGTATTATGGGGTGTGAAATTATGTTTGTACAGGAGTTTCCAATAGAGCAGGACTTGTTGATGAAAGTCTGACAGTTTGATGGGTAACTTATTATAGTCGAAGTCGCATCTCAAGAGAAAATCAATTCCACCTACAGTTTGAAAAACAAAATTAGGAATCACAAACCAGAAAGACTGTGAATGGTTATAAAATGATTTCAGCCAATTAAGTTTTAGAACACCGTTCATGGAGTTAAAATCGATTACATTACCACCACCTTCCTCATAGTTTTTGACCATATCTTCTTTTCTAATATAATGACATTTGTTTTTCCATACAAAATTAAAGTTGATTCTGTTTATGGCTTTGACAGTATCAGGCGGGACAGACAGAGAATACGCTGGATAGATCAGCCTGGATAAGCCATCCATTTTGGTTAGGAGGATTCTTCCAAAGATGGTAATGTCCCTTGGAATCCATCTACTTAAAATTGATTGATATTTTTCAATGTTATTATGAATATTATTCTTCTCAGACACCGCTTTATCTTTACAGATCAATATTCCTAAATATTTCACCTCTTTGCTTACTTTTATATTATACAGTGTTTGCAAAGGAAATTCCTGAATGGTTAGAATTTCACATTTATCTATATTTAATTGCAAACCGGAGGCTTTAGAGAAACAATCTATAGTTTGTAACACTAATGGGATTTGACTGCTGCTCTTTAAAAACAAAGTTGTGTCGTCAGCCAACTGACTTATTATTATATGTTTTCCAAATATGTTAATGCCTTCAATGTTACTAGTCTTGATTAAAACTGATAACACTTCAGCTACCATAATAAACAGTAAAGGGGACGAGGGACAACCTTGTCTTATACCTCTTTTAACCTTGAATCTAGGGCTGGTACCGTAATTCAGAGAGACTGAGCTGTTAATGTCATTATAAAGCATTCCCACAACGTTAAGAAAATTTTGTCCAAAACCAAAACAGGCCAGAGTCTGCATTATAAAAGGGTGTTCAACACAGTCAAAAGCTTTGTAAAAGTCTAAGAATAATATAAAACCCCCTTCATTAAACAAGTCACTATAGTCAAGCAGATCTAACACAAGTCGAATATTATTGTGTATTGATCGACCTTTTAAAAACCCAGATTGTGTTTCGCTAATTATTGTTGAGATCCCTTCTTTTAATCTTGCAGCAACAACCCCAGAGAGAATTTTATAGTCTGTGTTTAGCAAAGTAATTGGTCTAAGATTATTTATTAATCGTTTATCTTTACCAGATTTGGGAATTAGAGAAATTAAACCTTCTTTCATACTAGGAGTTAACATCTTTCTCATTATGCATGCATTTATAGCCCTAAATAGAAGATTTTTAATATCATTCCAAAAAAATCGATAAAAATTGGTTGTGAGACCATCAGTACCTGGTGATTTATTTAAGTGCATTTTAAAGACCATAGTCTCTAGTTCCTCTGGTCTAATTTCTGACTCACACAAAATTTTAAATGACTCTTCAATTTGTGGAATCTTGTTTTGGATTTTCTCAAAAAGGCAATTGGAGTCATCTATAGAAAAGTTGGTGGAATACAAATTAGAAAAAAATTCAAAAACTTCTTTTCCTATAATCTTATTGTCATTGCATTCTTCATCATCGATCAATAAAGTTGTTATAGAGTTCCTTTGTTGTCTACTTTTTTCTAAACGACTAAAATATGAAGAATTTTTTTCTCCATCTTCCATCCATCTTGCCCTCGACCTGATATAAGCACCCTTTGCCCTTCGCAGATATAGAGCATCTAATTTCGTTTGTAGTTCAATTAATAATGGACTATTTGAATCAGAAGAGTTACATATTTGATTAATTTCTCTGAATAAATCACATTCATATTGTTTTTCTTTTTTCCTAAGTTCTTTGCTGAAATATATTGTATCCAATCGTATTTTGTATTTTAAGAATTCCCACTTATTTATATCATCTATAATTGAGTGATCAGCTTCAACTTGCTTAATAATTTTTTTAATCCTAGTACAATATTCCTCATTGTCTAATAAGCTGGCATTAAATTTCCAATAGCCTTTATGTCTCTTTGTCTTTATACTAGGTCCCATCATTAAGCTTACATAGCAATGGTCAGTCAGTGGCGCCTTAGAAATAGCAGAATCTGTGGTGCATGCTAACAGGTAATCACTTATTAACCAGTAGTCTAGTCTAGACCTACATTGCCCATTAGGTTTTATCCATGAATATTCAGTACGCCCTGGGTTCAGTGTTCTCCACACATCAGTTAGGTTGTTATCTGTCATAAAAGTATTTATCAGAGCATTATATTGTTGTCTGCCTAATCTTGGAGGACACCTGTCCCGCCATTCATTTGAAGTCATATTCCAATCCCCTCCTAGAATAACATGGTCAGTGAGGTACCGAGTTTTAAATTCCAGTATAACTTGAGACAACTCTTCCAATAGAGTTCGGTTTAAAATGTCATTATTAAAGCCATAAACATTAACTATTATGAGGACTAACTGATCAATTCTAGTCACCACTGTTAACCAATGTCCATTTGTATCTCCTTTGTGTGTCAGAATTTCCCCAGGAAATTTTTTAAAACAAATTGCAACACCACCAGTTCGGTTTGTACCATGGCTAAATAAAATCCTGTCACCCCACTGGTTAGCCCAAAAAGTTTCATCTGTACTTGAAGAGTGAGTCTCTTGAAATAAAAAACAGTTTGACTTCTGTCCTTTTGAGAACAAAAATAATGCTTTCCTTTTAACAATGTCTTTTAAACCTCTAACATTGAGTGAACCAAATGAAATGTTCTCATTTAACATTAAAAACAACAAAAAAGATCCTAGAATAGAAAAGCTAAAAGAACTCTGTTAAACTGAATACCAAGAAATGATATTCAGTAAGTAGAAAAACTTAAAATGAAGCGTTGCAGTTGCAAGTCCTTTATCAAGATCTACATCTCCATCTTATTTAGTCTGCGTTACCTTCCATTCTGATTTGGCGCCCATCAATATAACCAAAGGGGCCACGAAAATAGGCCACCTTTCCTGCTTTCCTAGCTTGATCAATAAGTGGCCACAGACGATTTCTCTCCTCCCAGTCTTCTTTGGGTAGCATTTCAGCAAACTTGATGCCCATCTCTCTGCAGTAAGTGGATGTTTTGGTCTTCCTCCAGACTTCTTCCTTCATTACTCTTCGTGTGAACATCACAATGACATTTCTGTGTTTGTTGTCTATCTTCCGTCCCAGTCGGTGTACAACATCCACTTCCTGCTCCAGCCTTGACACAGAATCAGGAACGATGTGCTTCAGAGTCTGTATGACCACAGCCCTGATGTCCTCATCTTTCTCCTCCTTCAAGCCTTTTATGCGAAGGCTCCATCTCATTCCATATCTTTCCTGTTCTCTGAGTCTCTTTTTAAGATCAGCATTCTCCTCTTGCAGTTTTTTACCTTGCTTTTCCAGCTCTTTAACCTTTGCCTTGCACTCCTTAACTTCATTAGCATTAAATTCCACCGCTTTGGCTAGGCTAGCAAGCATAACACTGCTGTGTGTCACCTGTTGTTCAATATTGTCCACTTTCTCTCCGAGCGTCACAATACCTTTCATTATGTCTCTGAGAGAGATTTCCTCCGCTTCGTCATCTTCACCTGACTTGAGTCTCTTTTCTCCTGCTGTCTTGCTTGGGGTTGGGGGCGCAGAGTCGCCTCGTTCCCTTTTATTTTGAGTGGAGGTATCCATGCTATAGCCGTGGTCTTTATTAGAAGCTGCTTCTTTCTTTTTCGAGTCAACTTTAGGCTTGAGTGCCTTATTAATGTTTTGGGAAGCCATTTTGTTAGATTAGGTGGAGAGTTAACTTAAAAAGACAAGATAAATTTAGGACTTGCGCTGCGAGCTCTAGAAAACACGGCCGCTCAACCCGCCATCTTGTCCAGCCCTTCGGCGGCCCTACAGTTCGTCAGCGCTAATAGACGATAGCGGTCAATGCTGTATCTAGTCATTAGATGATATCTGTGCCTGGACTACTGCGCATGCGTCAGAACGTGACGTACTGTTTGCGTATGACGTCACCAGAGACGCTTCCTCTCCGTCGCTCTGCTCAGACGAATCCTTCGAAAAGGTAAGAATTACACTGTTTTTACTGTGATACAGTTGAATACCGAGAGTATTAATTGGTCTTTATTCGTGTCGTTTTATTGTTTAAATATTTTGACATAATATTTGTCTCCGGGAGAGTTATGGCCAATAAAAGTCCTCAGTGTAGGCTAACAGCTTCCCCTTCCTCCGAGCTAAATCGATTAGCTACAATCTCTGATGCTGCTTCATGGTGCTGTGATGTTCTGGCATCTGAAAAACTAAAGTAACGTGTAAATTCTGCTTAATTTCTGTCTCACTAAGCATCAACATTCTCTTTTCCTTAAAAATCCTCATTACAAACTATCAAATAAAACAATGAAAGGTTATCCTGATCTATGTCCTGATACATGCTCAATAATCCAGGTAGATAAATAAAACAAAGTTAAGTCAGGTCCTCTGGCTGGAGGATTGTTCTGTGTTGAAAAGGTTTGTTTTTAAACCAAAATACTTCTTCAGTCTGAGGAGCTGCAATAAACTGCCCCTTTCATAGTTGCTCAACCAGTTTGCTGGTGACATCCAGAACTGGTTCACATCTGAGAAACTCAGAAAGATTTTCTCCAAACACAACATCCCAGTACAGTTCAAACCCAGTAGGACTCTCAGACAGAACACATCAGATGGTGTGGTGTCTGCAGTTCAGTGCAGCGAGGAATGTCCAGAAACCAAACAGCTTCTTCAGACGCATGGCTCAACACAGGAGAGCAGCTCTTCAGGACAAGACTCAACGGTTCACCTGCACCTCAAGGATAAGGGACGTTGGAGGACCAAAATGTTCACATTTTGGACCGAGAAGACAGATGGTTTGAGAGGGAGGTGAAGGAAGACATTTATATTAAAAGAAGCCTTCTTTAAACAGATGAGAAGGTCTCAGATTTCAGATTTCAAAAACCTATAATGGAGCTTAAAGGCCTCCACAGACTTGGGTGTACTTCACTCCGCGGAGGTCCACGCGTACTGGAGGTGGACTACATGGACTCGAAGCGGATGTCTGCTGGTCATGTCCACGCAAAGATCAATTTTTACGACCGCGTACTCTGTGTCGCACAATAAACTGCCCGGCGACGGACTGTTTTGTATGCAACAACACCAGTCTATTATATTCCTTTTCTTCATCCCTGATCTGGTTTAATGGCCTTTTCTTTTGTTTTTTGCCAAGATGCAAACGATCTCTTCCTCCTCCTCCATTGATGCCATGACTGAAACTGTGAGAAATTAAGGAATTGGTCACGTGGGAATTAAAATCAGGTCCAGCATGGCTGCAGGAGGGTCTGGAGATTTCCTGGTGGGCTGGTCCAATGTGTGGGCTGCAGGGCCAGCGCTCCCTGTTTTCTTTTTTTTAAGAACTTTTTATTAACAACATATAAACACAGAACACCGCTGCGGCTTGCTGCCAGCTATTGTATTTTTTGCGACCTGTCAATCAATCCAGTAGGCGTGTCAACAAATACCATACCATACCACTTTATTTATAAAGCACTTAAAACAGCTACAAGGCCAACCAAAGTGCTGTACAGACAGAACAACAGGTAACACACAAAGCAAAATACAAAATGAGGTAAATCAGAATATAGACAAAAAACGATGCAGATAATGACGACTAACCAGTGTGGAGCATACAGGATCAAAACACAGATAATCTGGTGTTGAAAGCTACTGAATAGTAGTGAGTTTTTAAACGGGACTTGAAAACCGAGAGGGACGGGGCCTGTCTGACAAGCAGAGGTAACTCGTTCCAGAGTCTTGGTCCTGCTACAGAGAAGGCCCTGTCACCTCTGCGCTTAAGACGAGTTCCTGGAACTGTGAGGAGCAACTGGTCCGCTGACCTCAGGGAGCGTGGTGGGATCAATTGGTTGATCAATGATCAATTGGTGACCTCAATTTGTCCCGAGGGTAAACACCGCTTGCCTGCAGAGCTGGTCTGCAGCCCATCAGGGTGGACAGTCAAGTATGAAGTCTCAACAGTCTGCGAACAGTCTGCGAACAGTGTGCGCAGAATCCGCGTGGCTAAAGCCAAATCTGTGGAAGCCTTAAGGACTGATACCCAGTCATTTTCACTCCACTCAAGACCTTCATGGAACCAGAGTGGCTCCTCTATGAGTCAGACTAACAAAGTCCTAATGACCCTCTATTGTGAGGAGTGTGAGGTCAATCTGCATGTGAATCCAGTTTACAGAACACCTCAGCTTTATAACTTGAACCCCTCACTCCCTGTTCTTTGAATTGACTAATCTCCTCGGATGAGAAGAGAAACGTCTTCAGCTACAGAATAGAAGTCCAGTTGTTTTTGTCTTGAACCGTTAGTTTTTTTTATTTACCATGTCCTGGATGACTGAGAATCTACACCAGCGTAGTTGTTCACATGCAAAAGTAGGACCATCAACCTAACAATAAATCGTTAGTGCTCTGATGGCCGCTTGCTATTCACAAAAGCACCAACTGGTCCAGGTGTAGATCCAGATCAATTTATAGTTGGATGCTTTTTGTTCAGCTAATGTTTCGAGGGGCAGATGGTGATGCCGTGTCAATCAAAAACAAGGTATCATAACGAAGATGCTCTGCTTTTCCCCTCCCCCATCTTTTGACAGAACCATACGGTCCACCACCCCCAGCTTTCAGCGAGTAGACAGTGCCATTTGTGCTATTTATTTATTCAACCTTTATTTATTCAGATTAATCCCATTGAGCCTCGGGGACTCATTTACAAGAGAGACCTGATTTTAACAAAGAATGATGACAACAATGGACAATCATAAAGGATGCGTACAAATTGAGATTTATTTTTTTTATAAGTGAAAATAAAATGGTATTTAAAGAAAATGTAACAAAAAAACAGCTACTGTAGATTGTAGGGTGGTGTAGAAAACTAAAAACAAAAACATGTCTGCATTGAAAACAACAAAGTCCAGGCTCAATAATCCAGGTATACAATCCCAACATTTTTCAGTCAGGTCATCTGGACAGTTTCTTTTTTTGTACTGAAACGTTTCACCTTCCATCCAGAAGGCTTCATCAGTCAAGGAAACACACAACACAAAACTGATTGATTTTAGTTGCACTCTGTAGCACTTTGAGATTTTTGTTAATGAAAAGTGCGTTACAAATTAAATTCATTATTATTATTATTACAAAACTGATTCTTCCCCCAAACAGCTTACTTCAAAGTGGAACAAACCAGTTATGTTGGTGCTAAGAAGTCTCTTTGTCACGCCCCCTCCTCCATTGCCAGCCCTCTTCCTTGTTGACAGTCGTGTCAAACTGGTTGAAAACAACAAAGTCCATGCTCAATAATCCAGGTATACAAGGTATACACGACTGTCATCCAGGTATACACGACTGTCATCCAGGTATACACGACTGTCATCCAGGTATACACGACTGTCATCCAGGTATACACGACTGTCATCCAGGTATACATGACTGTCAACAAGGAAGAGGGCCGGCATTGAGGAGGAGGGCGTGACAAAGAGACCATCTTAGCACCAACATAACTGGGTTGTTCCACTTTGGAGTAAGCTGTTTGGGGGAAGAATTAGTTTTGTGTTGTGTGTTTCCTTGACTGATGAAGCCTTCTGGATGGAAGGTGAAACGTTTCAGCACAAAAAAAGAAACTGTCCAGATGACCTGACTGAAAAATGTTGGATGTCTGCATTGGTTTTATTTAGCTATTAAGTCTGAGTTTGTTGCAGCTCCTCAAACTGAAGAAGTATTTTGGATAAAAGATGAACATTTCAACGAGAATAATCTGTCCAGAGGACCTGACTCAACCTTGTTAGATTATCCTGCGCTAGTTTTAAAGAGTTTCTCAAGAATGTGGGTCTGCACTTTATGTAAACAAAGAAATCATTAGGTTCAATCCAGCTGACTGTCACATTTCTTGAACAGCTCTTAGGTTGTTGACCTGTTTTCAGTCACTTTGGATGTTTCTGTGTATCAACAAACACGCATAGTAGATGGCATTTGCTCAAGTACACATCAAACATCAATACAATGAGTTAAAAAATGCATAAGAACGGGTTTCTTACTTTGATTTTTTGGTACTGGTCTTCACAACAATTACACATTTGAGTATTATCTTCAGATCTAATGCAGTAACTCACGAGGGTTTTCTTTTTTGCAGACATGGAGTCTCACGATCCAAATTTAACCTGCGCCATATGTCTGGAATGCTTCCATGTTCCGGTAACCATCCCCTGTGGCCACACATTCTGTGAACACTGCATCAGCACTCACTGGGACACCTTGAGGGAGTCGAAAATTGGTCCAAAGTGTCCCATCTGCAACGCAGAGTTTACCACCAGGCCGAGTCTGAACCGAAACACGTCCCTGTCGGTCCTCACTGAGGCTGCAAACAGCCCTGCCTCCTCGTGCAGAGAGCCTCGGGTGAAGGTGGGCGTGCTGCTGTGCGTTCGCCACAAAAAGCCTCTGGTTTATTACTGCAGGCAGGACAAAATGTCTGTGTGCTGCCAGTGTGGCATTGAAGAGTGCACGGACCACAAGAAGGTCTTGTTGGAGGAAGAGCGGGACTCTCAGGAGGTACGTCAACATCAGGCAACTGCAGGCTGAACTGTTGGAAGTCCATTCAGAACAATTATACAATAAAACCTTGTTTTTTTTCTTTATGTGATGTTTTGTCCACAGCTGCTGCTGCTAAAAAAGAGTAAAGAAGTGGAGAAGCTGCTTGAAGAGACGCAGAGAAGCATACATGACTTGGCTGAGAATATCAATCACGCTCAGGTGCTGTTTCACTTTTTATATATCTGAATAAAAAGTTAATTATGTTAAAGAGGCGTTTATAATCCTTCAAAACTCAGAGCTCACTGTGGACACGGTTAAAGCCAGAAGTTTCCATCCCCTCATCAGAAACATAAATGTCATTAACTTTGAAGTTTTAATGATTCAGCTGAAGCTTTTTCTTCCAGAGTAGAATTAAAAAGAAACCCTTTAACTTCAGCACTTTTTATAAACAAGAACTGGGTGTGCAAGTCTGATGTGGTTGTTGATTAATTTTCTAATCCACAGAAAGACAAAATGATGCATTCAGGTTCAAATATATCCATACACCCCCACTCATATTTGGTTAAGTGTCTGTTTAACAAGCTGAACCTCAGCCACGCTCTTTGTATTCCATCAACAAGTGTCTGGTCTAATTTAGGTCGTTTTCACACCAGATAGTCCGGTAGACTCGGTTCGGTTCGGGACCAATATTCATGACCTTTTTTTTACATTTGAGCTGCTGCGTTTGCATTCACATTGCATTGTGCAGTCGAGCCAAACTGTTAAACCAACCTGTTCCCCCACGCGCCTGTGGGGGCGCTGCACCAAGAACTACTGAAAGAAACGACACAAAACCTCTGAAGACACGTCTTCTTCTTCTTCTGTAAATAAAAATAAAAACGAAGTGGCATCAAGTTTTAGCAGTTTTAGGAGTTATATTTTGTCATTTTTCAAAAATGGACTCAGCATGAGCAGAAGATGAGACAGAAGACCATGGAGAATATTGTTTTTCCACACAAGGCAGCTGACGGCTCCATATAAGGTAAGAGAAATGCGTGTTTGTTTGCTCTGCGGAGCGGTCCCGGTCTGTTTACATTCACACTGTACTCGAACCGCGCTGGAGTTTTCTTCTACCGGACAGAGACCTAGGTTCTATGTCGTATAAGCTTCGCCCTTTAAGGCCTTCGCTTTAGTGGGTTTATCCCGTTATGCAGAGCATAAGCACTGAAAAAATTAGTCCACGCCCACCTGCTGTGTGGGCCCCACCCGGTCCGTATAAATTACGTTAAGAGCGGGAAATCGGCTCCCATTTTTTCTTCAGCGAGCTAATATAGCACTGTCAGAAGAACAAAGAGGATAAATTGTGTAAATGACCAACCTTTGTGAAGGATGCTTGGCCCGGCAGTCGACCTCCGGTCGTCCGGTGAGTTCTCCTCCCCGAGGAGAAGATGACAGCAGTCTTATTCCAAGGTAAGCGTCGGGGAACATTTCCCAGTGACAGGTCACTACACGCTGGACAACGCCATCTTGTGTTTTTCCTCTTATCGCCGACCCTCGGGGCGAACCGGATGGTTCTTCCGGGGCAAGGCGTGCTCAGCTGCAGCCCCCGCTGCTCATTCCCTCCTGGGGAGCGTAGTGTAGGTGGAGGGGGGCTGAGTGAATGCTCACCCCATCCCACCTCGTTTCGCATCGGCGATCACACCGCTCCCGGCCGACAGCGCCCTCAGGGGTTGCCCGGCGGAACCCGGGAGGAGGCTGACATGAAGGGACCCCTTTTTTCTACGTCCCTCGCCTTTTCCCGCCAGTTCGGATGATCGGCGGAAAGGTTGTTTTTCACTGGGCTCCACTGTGGCTCACCGTCTTGATCCATACGGCCTCACGTTCCAACAGGACGTTCGACGGGCGAGGCCGCAGACGGTTCTTTCCTGGTAGATTAGAGGAGTCGGTCCCCAGTCCGCTCCCATCACCAGAGTTGAGGGATTCACCGAGCGGGGCTATTCCTCGCTCCCCCCCCCTGGAGCCAAGCCTCGCGGAAGCTTCCGGAGCGAAGCTGCCCAGGTCGGAGCAGCGTCCCGTCCCTCCGGAGGAAACAGACGGCGACCACGCTCTCCAATCGAGCCCACCGACGTGTTTTCAGGCAGCCGCAGTTAGCAACAACATGCGCTGCTAGCATATAGCATGTCCAAGGGACTGAAGGCCGCAGACCTGCCTTGGAGACGAAGAACTCCCTCTGTAAGGCAGCTGACGCCAGCTCAACATGTGTGCCTCTCCCACGGTTTGCCTGTCGAGGACTGCAGCGCGGATGATGATGATCCAACGATCCACCTGGCTTCGTTACTCCCCTCGCTGCCGGAGAAACTGCACAAGACCTGATGAAGCTCATCGCGGACGCGCTGTTCAGAGCAGCTTCAAACCATGCTGGCGAAGTGAAACAGTCGGAGGAGGTGCCAGAAGCTGTGCGCCACCTCATCAAGCCGCGCGGCCCACCCCGTCCCGCTGGAGGGACCGTCGCGAGCAAGTTTCGACTTTTCCACGGCCGCGGCTCTCGCTGAGTTCCACCACCAGCCCCGCCCGTCGGAATCCAGCCCTTCTTCACTCCGGCAGCCTGCAGCTCAGCGTTTCCCCAGAGTTCGCCTGCAAGACAGCGCTCTGGGCAAACAATCGCAGAGCTCATGAGAGAGAAGTTTCTCAAAATGACGGTCTCCGGAGGGTGTGTGTAAAAGTGACACGAAAGTTGAATAAATCATCATTAATGATCAAAGTGTCTGTTTTTTAGCCAGTCTGTAAGCCCGGATGAGCTCACAGCGGCCGCACACATAAGAGCCGGTGTCCTTAATAAGGGTTTTTAAACTCACCGCCGCTCCAAGACATTACTAGTCGCTTACAGGGCACGATGGTAAGTGAAAATAACTCGTTATAATCCCGGGCTGCACGTTTTTCACCCAAGCGATGTCAACTCGCACTCGTGGGATGAAACAGCCCCACACACGAGCCGGTGTCCTTAAATAAAGGTTTTTAAACTCACCGTCGCTCTAAGACATGACGAGTCGATCACAGAACAGCCTCCACACATGAGCCGGTGTCCTTGATTAAAGGTTTTTAAACTCACCGTCGCTCTAGACATGACGAGTCGATCACGGCACAACGGTAAGCGAAAATAACTCGTTACCAACTAGAACTGCACGATCCTCACTCAAGCGGTGTCAACTCGCACTCGTGGGATGGAACAGCCTCCACGTGAGCCGGTGTCCTTAAATAGGGTTTTAACTCACCGCCGCTCTAGACATGACGAGTCGATCACTAAAATGAACAGCCTCCATCCAACGGCGCTGCGTTGATGCTGGCGCACACACACAGCTGCCGGCGCTAACCAGCTCACATCGGTATAAATGTGGTCCGCAGGCTGGTTCGGGTGGAGGTCCTTCTCTCTCACAAGAAATGACACCCGTCTCAACGAATCAAACGCGGGCAGCCGTCACCCACCGCGTCTCAGCTTTCGGCAGCTCACCGCAGCTTAAACGTGAAGCAGCTGAAGAACCCGGTAATGAGTCCCGCCTCCCTCCAGCGCGCGCCCCTCCAGCGAGAGCGGCGCGCGTCCCTCCAGAGAACAACGTGTGCTCCCGCGGGGCTAGCAGCCTTCACTCCAACAGCACGGCGTAAATGAAGTCACGCCCTCCGCCTTTTCAACGTTCGCACAGCGACGTCAAACGCGCAGCCCCACCGCGTCATCAGCTGTCACACGCTTGGCCTCAGCACAAGTCTCGCCCGGGATCACACAGAAAACATTCCCGCGACGCATGACGGCGGTTGAGGGGCGGACTGCTGACAGCCGTACAAAACATGACACATCACTTAACGCACGTTCACCCTACGAACGTTACGTAGAGTGGCTAAAACATGCTCGCCGTTTTTCAGATGGATGGACAAGGTTTTATGCAAATGGTACAAGTTACAGTTTGCAACCCGAACCCCTCCATTCAGAGGAGTTATAAAAACGGTTCCGTCATCATTAGACTAAATCTCATCCCTAAATGCAGAAATCCAAGTGTTTTCTGATAAAAGTAATCTACAGAGTCCCCCAACGGAGAGAAAACACAAGGTTTTTACTCACGGATCGGAGGGGTGAGACCGTTTTTTGGATCTGTTGTTAACATCCAGAGAACGCATACCGATCATCCTAACACAGAGACGAGAGTTTTTGTTTTTACCTGGATGATCTGCTGCTCCTGTCACTTCAGACAGGAGGCGCTGATGCAGGATCAGGTGTTGACATCACACCTGTTAAATCTGGGCTTCGCCATAATTGGAAGGAAGCTCGATTTTCCCGGCCCAGACATTTGTTTCTGGGAGTGGAATTAAATTCAACCACCTGGCAAGTGATAACAGCTGTCTCCGTCATGAAGCTGTTGGGAATGATGTCACTCACACAGTGTTTTCCGCTGGTTTGTTTCACATGAGACGCCTCCAGAGGTGGTTCTGCACGTCTGCATGTGGATCCAGTAAAACAAAACGACGGATGATCATTGTCCCTTCCTCTGTGGAAGCAGACCTCCGACTCTGGGGAAACACCTTGTTTTCTGTCAGAGGGAGTCCCCCTCAGCAGACCCACGTCACGGGTCAGTCTTCACGGACACGTTGCTGTCAGGCTTGGGGGGGGGGACATGCCTATCTCAAGCAGTAGGGGCGCTGTGGCCCCACTACACATCAGCCCACATCAATGTTTTGGAGTGTCACACAGCACTGAATATGATTCAACACTTTGCTCCCGTGCTACAGAATCAACACGTGTTGATTCACACAGACAACATGATGACTGCTGCGTACATAAACATCAAGGGTGTGCGTTCAGCCCAGATGTTACACATTGCGCGAAAGCTACTGTGTTGGGCTCATCAACCTGCTCTCTATTAGAGCGGTTTTACATATCCGGTGTTCTGAACAGAGGGGCAGATGTGACGTCCAGGGGCGGCCCACGTCACGTGGACCGGACCCTCCATCCAGATCTGATGTTTTCAGACGCAGCAGAAGTTGGCAAAGCAGCTGTGGACCTGTTTGCGACGCGAGAAGAACGCTCAGTGTCAACTATGGTTTTCCCTGAGCCCGCGAGATGATCCATCGCTGGGGGGGGGGACGCATTTGCTCACAGCCCGTGGTCCAAAACGCTTTTATACGCGTTTCTTTTCCCCCACCTCCTCTGTTTTTTACGGTTCCTGAACCGAGTTCAGGAGGAGGGATGGACA